TAGGCCTTTGGCCTGAGTATCAACCTCCCCCTGACCCGAAGCTCCAGCCTACTGCCTCAGTGATTTCAGAACTGGGTGCTTGGGTCCTTGACGTCAGTAGCCTCCAAGCAAGGCATCTCAACCATATTCACTGCAAGCCCGGCCATGTAGACTGAACCTAGCATCCACACACCAGCATGGGCACAGACACTCAGTCTCGCCGGGGGAATACTGACATTGAGGTCAACAAACGCCGTCTGCTACTCCAAAATTGGGATTGGAAGCCTGGCCTCTCAGTAGGACCAAGTGACCTGACTTGGGCGGGAGCACTCCAGGTCCCCGCCGTGCCTGGTCCCCTAGGGATGTGTCCATCTCTGGCTCCCTCCCTGGTGGAAGCATTTGTCTGCCCTCTGGTGGCAGATTCTGGAAGTGCACTCTGATGTGGACCCAGACACCCAGGCCCCCTGGTCTTCCCATCTTGTGGAAAGCTTGAAGCCTGGGAGTCTTCCTGCTTCCTCCCACTCAGCTCCCACGCAGGTCAGCCACCAAGACCTGTCCTTCAACCTCCTGAATCTCTTCCCTGTCCCGCCTCTCCACACCACTTCCCTGCTAGGATCTTCCCCAGGATCATTCTCCCTGGTCTCACTCCCTCTAGCCCATCTTCCTTTTCTTCTTTTCTTTTTCTTTCTTTTCTTCCCCCTTTCTTCCTTTCCTTTTTCCCTTCCCTTCCCCCTTCTCTTCCCCCTTTCTTTCCTTTCCTTTTCTTCTTTTCTTTTTCTTTCTTTTCTTCCCCTTTCTTTCTCTGTGATTGCGCAGGCTGGAGTGCAGTGGTGCTCAGGTGATTCTCCCAGCTCACCCTCCCAAGTAGTTGGGACCACAAGTGTGTGCCACTATGCCCAGCTAATTTTTGTATTTTTAGTACAGATGGAATTTTGCCATGTTATCCAGGCTGGTCTCAAACTCCTTGCCTCGAGCGATCCTTCCGTGCCAGCCATTTTTATTTTTTACTGAGGCAGGGTTTCACTATGTTGCCCTATCAAAGTGCTCAGCTCAGCCTCCCAAAGTGCTGGGATTACAGGTGTGAGCCACTATGCCCGGCCTCCAGAGGGATATTTCTAACATTCACACTTAACCCTGCCTCTTCCCTGCTCAATGTCCTTCCATGGTTTCACATGTTAAGGCAAAATCCAAAGACCTTACTATGGCCCACAGGTCCTGCGTGATCTGGCCCCCAATTGTCCTCCCCAACATGGTCTCTGGGGCTGGCCAGGAACTCCGCCCTGTCATCGAGCAGATCTGACTTCATGGCCTCTGCACCTGCTGTTCCCTCTGGCTCCAACACTCTTCCCCAAGACCTACTCCAAGGGCCAAGCAGCCCCTCAATCCCCAGCACAGCCCTGCCCACTGAGCGGCTCTCCAGGCCCCGCCCACTGAGCAGCTCTCCAGTCTCAAGTGTCTCCTTTGTTTGGCTCTGGAGCCTTTATCCCTCCCCTCCGAGTGTCCTGATTGTTGTTGTTTTTGAGACTGAGTCTCACTCTGTCGCCCAGGCTGGAGTGCAGTGGTGCGATCTCAGCTCACTGCAACCTTCACCTCCCGGATTCAAGCAATTCTCCTGCCTTAACCTACCGAGGACCTGGCATTACAGGGACCCACCACCATGCCCAGCTAATCTTTTATTTTTAGTAGAGACAGGGTTTCACCATGTTGGTCAGGCTGCTCTCGAACTCCTGACCTCAGGTGATCTGCCTGCCTCGGCCTCCCAAAGTGCTGGGATTACAGGCATGAGCCACCGCGCCCAGCCCCTTGTTGGTGGTTCTATATGTGTTTTCTGCATGTCTCCTACTGAATGTGAGTTCGCAGATGGCAGGGCCTTGTCTGTTTCCAGCACTGCCATTTCCCGAGCATCTAAGCCAGTGTGTCCAATAGAAACAGAATACAAGCCATAGAGGTCACTTGCAATTTTATCTTTTTTTTTTTTTGAGATGGAGTCTCGCTCTGTCACCCAGGCTGCAGCGCAGTGGTGTGATCTTGGCTCACTGCAACCTCTGCCCCCAGGTTCAAGCAACTCTCCTGCCTCAGCCTCCCAGATAGCTGGCATTACAGGCATGTGCCACTATGCCCAGCTAATTTTTGTATTTTTATTAGAGATGGGGTTTTGCCATGATTGCCAGGCTGGTCTCTAACTCCTGACCTCGGGTGATCCACCCTGATCTCAGCCTCCCAAAGTGCTGGGATTACAGACATGAGCCATTGTGCCTGGGCTAACTTGCAATTTTCTATTTAATCCGCACACACACCCCTCTCCCCCACCCTGGCTTCTTTTGAGACAGGGTCTCACTCTATCACCCAGGCTGGAGTGCAGTGGCAGTGCAATCTCGGCCCACTGCAGCCTTGACCTCCTGGGCTCAAGCAATCCTCTCACCTTGGCCTCCCAAGTAGCTGGGACCACAGGCATGCGCCATCACACCTGGCTAATTTTTGTATTTTTTGTAATGACAGGGTCTTGCCATGTTGCCCATGCTGGTCTCAAAGTTCTGAGCTCATGCAGTCCACCCACCTTGGCTTCCCAAAGCGCTGGGATTACAGGTAGGAACCACCGCTGCCCTTTTCTTTTTATTATTATTTTTAGATATGGGGTTTCTGTGTGTTGCCCAGGCTGGAGTGCAGTGGTACAGGCATGGCTCACTGCAGCACTGAAGTCCTGGGATCAAGTCATCCTCCCACCTCAGCCTCCCAAGTGGCTGGGACTACATGCCCGCACTACCATGCCCAGTTAATTAACTTTTTTTTTTTTTTCCTCGCTATATTATCCAGGCTGGTCTCAAACCCTGGCTCAAGCAATCCTCCCACCTTGGCCTCCCAAAGTAAATGTTAGGATTACACAGACATGAGCCACGCTGCCCAGCCTTAATCATATTTTTAAAATTAAGGCTGAGGCAGTCAGATCACAAGGTTGGGAGATCGAGACCATCCTGGCCAATATGGTGAAATCCTGTCTCTACTAAAAATACAAAAATTAGCCAGGTGTGTTGGTGGGAACCTGTAATTCCAACTAGTCAGGAGGCTGAGGCAGGAGAATCGCTTGAATCTGGGAGAAGGTTACAGTGAGCCGAGATTGTACCATTTTACTCCAGCCTGGGCAACAGAGACTCTGTCTCAAAAAAATAAACAAACTGAGCGCAGTGGCTCACGCCTATAATCCCAGCACTTTGGGAGGCTGAGGCGGGTGGACTGCCTAAGGTCAGGAGTTCGAGACCAGCCTGGCCAACACAGTGAAACTCCGTCTCTACTAAAAATACAAATAATTAGCTGGGTGTGGTAGCAGGTGCCTGTAATCCCAGCTGCTAGGGAGGCTGAGGCAGGAGAATCGCTAGAACCCGAGAGGTGGAGGTTGTAGTGAGCCGAGATTGCACCACTGCACTCCAGCCTGGGCAACAAGAATGTAACTCTGTCTCTAAATAAAAATAAAAAATAAAGTCACTTCTCAGGCCCTCTGGCCACCTCTCTTGTTGTCTTCATCTGCCTGGCATGTTCCCTCCCAAGTGAGTTTTTCTCTTGTGATTGTTCCCACATGGCAGCCTCCACCTCACAATGAAAGGCAAACTGGACCGGCTGGCTCATGCCTGTAATCCCAGTGCTTTAAGAGGCTGAGGCAGGAGGATGGCTTTAGCCCAGGAGTTTGAGACCAGCCCAGGCAACACAGTGAGACCCTGTCTAATGAAAAGTTGAAAAACAATTAGTGGGTGTGGTGGCATGCACCTGTGGTCTCAGCTGCTCAGGAGGCTGAGGTGGGAGGATCACTTGAGCCAGAGAGGTGGATGCTGCAGTGAGCAGTGATTGTGCCACTGCACGCCAGCCTGGCCCATAGAGCAAGACCCTGTCTCAAAAAAGAAAAGGCAAGAGGCAAACTGGGCTGGACACAATGGGTCACACCAGTAGTCCCAGCACTTTGGGAAGCTGCAGGGGGAGGATTGCTTGAGCCCAGGAACTTGAGACCGGGCTGGGAAACAAAGCGAAACCCCCTCACAAAAGCAAACTGCATCTCTTTCATCTGACACGGAGTAAAACGCAAAGCCCTCACTGTGGCCCGCAAGGCTCCCTGGCCTCCCACCCTGTCCCCCTTGTGCATCTGCTCCAGCCACACCTGCCTCCTGGCTGCCTTCGAGCCTTCTGGCTGCTGCCATCTATCTCCCAGCTTATGCCCCTGTGGCTTCCTCTGCCCCCATCATTCTTCCTCCAAAGGATCTGGGCTACTCCTGCTCTCATCTCAATTTAGGTCTTTGGTGAATGTCACGTCAGGGAGGCCTTTTCCGGCCATCCTCTTTAACCCACAACTCACTCCAGAACTTTCTCTGTGCAGAAAAGAGTCAACATGGCAGGCTCCGCCCCAGACTGCTGTCCTTAGACAGTCCTGGGTGCACAAGCAGTGCTTGGCTGGGAACTTGGGTGTCAGGAGGGTTCTTCTCATTTCCTGATAAGAGTGACTATCTATCTAGGCTGTTTGTGCCACGCACCGGCCTTCTTTCTGGGAGACGGGATTTTGGTATGTGTCAGAGAGAAGGTCCACGAAACCACCCCCATGAAACCAAGGTTGCTGAGGCTCTGATCAGAATGTCCCTGGCTGACATTTCACACAGGTCGCCATGATACACTGCTGGAGGAATTAGGCGTGGCCTCTGGAAGTGCATGCCAGGTTTCCCGAGTTCACCACACGCATCTTTTCCTTTCACTGACAGCTCCATATCCTTTGATGAGAGTAAATCAGAGCTCCGAGTGTAACTGCATACTCAGCCCCAAGTCCTAGAGAACCATCAAACCTGGGGTGGTCTCGGGGACCTCCGGCACACTGTCTTTCTCAACTCTTTTCTCCTCCTCAGCACTCACCATCATTGGACATCCCATAATATTTTACCTGTTTACCTTGTCGATCGTCTTGCGCACTCCCCAGGCTCCATGCCAACCCTGGTCTGCACTATTCCCAGCTCCACTCACAGAGACCCACAGAAGATGCTGGGGGAGTATTTGCTGAATGACACCTGTAACAGCTTTATTTTCAAAGGTAGAATCCCTCCCCAGGCTTGTGATGGGGCAGCGCTGTGGGCCCAAGCAGCAGCAGACCTGTGCAGGACAGGGGTGGGCAGGGGCGGGGCGGCTGGCCGGGGAGGCCGGCAGGTCCCAGCAGCACCTCACACGGGTTCCATCTGCAGCTCCTCCCCGTCCATAGCCTCAATCTGGTGGAAAGCAGCGTGGGAGCCGATGACTACCAGGGTGGCTCCTGCAGGAAAGCCGGCAGCTCAGGGCCATGCTCCTGTGCCTGGCCCCACCATCCACCCCAGTCGCTCAGACCCTGTACTCACCAAGCACCCAGAAGACGGCCGAGCCGGCACCAGCCAGCCAGAAGAAGGGGAAGGATATGCCTCCAGCCAGAGCATACTGATGGGCTGGGCTCACCTCTCGGCCTGGGGGCAGACGGCATTGGGGCGCTGTTCCCACCCTCCATGCCCTCTCCCAGAGTAACCCCTGCTGCCCCCCAACAATCTATACAAGCTCCAGGACCTTGGGATTGAATCCAAACTCATGCCAAGGCCTTCCAGGTCCTGGGGTCGCCCTGTTCCCGTGCTGTCCTGACTCCCCTCCAGAACACAGCACCCCATCCTCACCTGCCTCAGCCCCACCCTCTGCCCTCTGGTCCACATCCTCTAGAAAGCTCCTGGGATCCCAGCTTCCTGCTCCCCAGACTACTCTGCTCTCCTGCGGCTACCCTCACGCAGATCAGGGGTCTCAAACTGGTGGCCCGAGGGCCAAATCTCAGCGGTGGATGTGTTTTTTGAGATGTTTTGCAATAATGTGATTTGTGGCTGGCATAGTGAATGATTTCACATAAAAATACCAACTATAGGCTTCTCACAGAGATCTGGGAAATGGGGTCCGCATGCTCTGGTGATGGTAATCAGCTGAAGCCAAGTCGTGGCTGTGCTTCAGGTGCTCCCTCCACCCCACTCTCCTCCGCCCCAGTCTGTCATGCACATAACTTGCCGCAGGTCTACCTGACCATCCCATCCCAACTCCCTGACTGCACTGCAAACCTTGATTTTCCCCTGGGGGGAATTTCCCTGGCATTTTGTTTTCCCAGTGGTCCTTGGTACTAGTCTGGGAACCACATGAAACATACTCCTCAGTTTTCCTCTCTAAGTCCCAAGGTCTTTCTGGTCACATCCCAGAAAGCCAGAAAAGGGATGGGAACAAATCTAGACCAGTGTAAGGTCGCCACCTGGTGTCCATTATGGGCACCTGCAGCTGATGCTTGCTGCAGAGAGCGGCGAGGGGATGAGGGAGAGGGAAGGGGTCACGTGATTTGGAGAGAGGTAGGTTTAAGGCACAGCAGGCAGGTAGAATCTGGGTTTGAGGAATTGCAATTTAGGGGACCGAGACTCGGTGGGAGCATCTGTTTTGAGATGTTAAGGGATCAGGTTTGGGGGACCTAGTCTACATCTAGGCTTGGGCAGACTTGGGTTTGGGGTCTAAGGTCTGTAATTCCAAAAGACCAGGATGTGAAGGAGCAAGAATTCATATGCACAGGGGATTTCTCACCAAACAGCATAAGCTTGGACTGCAAGGTGCGCAGATAGAGAATGTAACAGGCGCCAAAAAAGACAGCCAGAGCCACCAGCAACATAGGGGATGTCACCCTGGAGGAGGAGTGCAGGGAGGCAGCAGTCAGGCAGCTGGGGCTAGGCCAGCCAGGAAGCCCTGGCCTTCTCCATCGGTGTACGGCAAGCTACATCCTGGAGACCAGGAAGAGCCAGGTGACATTTAGTCACCCCGCATCCTGGCCAGGGTGATGGTGGGGTAGTGACCTGGCCGTTTGGTGACAAGGTAGGTCTAGGAGAGCCAACCCTAGGGGACCGGGCCTGGGCGGCGGGGGGCGGGGCCTGGGCGGGGAGAGGAAGAACCGGGCGGTGGGGGCGGGGCCTGAGCCGGGAGAGGAGGGGTCTAGCCGGGGAGGGAGAGTGCGGGTGTGGGGCCCGGAAGGCACTCACACGCAGTACAGGATAAGGCCCAGGAACACGAACACATAGTTGCTCTGGTAGTACTCCACGTTGCGTACGAGGCGCTGGCACAGCTCGCCCAGGTTGCGGGGCCGTGAGAAGCGCTGCTGGTCCACGAAGGTTCCCCAGGGCCGAATGGTCGCCCGACGCCGCTCTAGCCACTCCCGGCCTGCACCAGAGGGGATCAGCTTCGGCAGCAGGGTCCTGCGCGGGGCGGGGCCGGGTCAGTGGTGGACCGGGATGGAGGCCCAGATCCCCGCGCAATAAGGGGGCTAAGCCTGGACTCCCTCCCCGGACCCCAGATTCCTGGCCCGCAGAGGGAAAGGGTGCTAAGGGTTCAGACTCCAGGGTCCCAGAAGAGGAGACCGGGGACCAAAACTTCGGCGTCTCGGGGCTGGGACTCCAGGCACTCAAGGGAGGAGAGGGCCGGGGGCCGGGACTCCGGGTGTCGGGTCCAAGGGGCTAGAGCCGGCTCGCTCACGTGGCGCTTAGCCCTTCCGCCTCGGCATCCTTCTGCTGGTCCTTCGGGGCTGCCATGTCTGCGTCGTGAGGGGTAGAGCTGCGGTAACTAGCCCGGTACCCCGCAGACCCTGCCGGCACCGCCTGAGTCCGTCCCCACTCTGCGGAGCCGACGTGGCGCCGCTAGGGAGCAGCTGGGGACGGTAGTTCTGTCGCCAGGCACTGTGGGAGTTGTAGTCCTGACGGTGGCTGGGAGGTTGGGCGCTATGATGGCGGCCTGACTCGCAGGACACTTTGGAAGATACAATCCCAGAAAGTGACGGCGCGCGCCTCTGGGCATTGTGGGAGTTGTAGTTTCGGGAGGGCACAGGTGGGCTGTCAGGCGCGAGGGCGTTATGGGAGCTCTAATGGCAGAAGAGGGCGTTGTGTACTCTCCCGGGGAGGGCACGATGGAGACCGTGCAGCGCTGTCGTTCTGTCTCTAGAGGGCATAAAAAAACACCTGGAGGGCTTGCTAAAACACAGAATCCTGGGCCCCAGCCCAGATGTTCTCATTCAGCAAGTCTGGGGTGGAGCCCATAATTTGCATTTCTGAGTTCCCAGGTGATGCTGATGCCGCTAGTCCATGGACCACATATTGAGTACAAAGATTTAGTTAATTTATTGATTCCTTCCTCAAGAGATTGAGGCTAGTGAGGGGGCTATGGTTGCCGGAAGGGGATCTGAGGTTGCCCCCTACCCCACCTCGTGGAGTCACAAAGATGAATGAGTTGGGGCTAGGGACACCCCCACCCCACCCTCCCACCTTTGGACAGGAGGAAGTGAAGTTGGGAAAGAGAAAGTGTTGAGAAGTTTTAAAAGTGGGAGATGTTATACCTAAAAGAGCTGTGATTCTGGAGTCAGACTCAGGAGAAAATCCAGGCTGTGTGGCTGTTACCTAGTCACCTCCCTGAACTTCAGTATCTTCATCTGAACAGCGGGGATCCTAATGGTACCAGCTCACAGGGTTATGATGATTCAGTTAAATCCATGTGAAGTGCTTGAAAGACTCTTTTAAAGAGACTTTATAATTGCTCAATAAAGGATAGTCATTGTTATTGCCACTATATTGTCCCAAATGTTATGATTATAATTTCTAGAGTTCAGCCTCCTGAATTTTAATAGGAACATGTTAGGGGCTGCTGGCCTCTTGGATGTCCCCAAAGATGGCTAGTGTCCGAGGCATGGGCCTTTCTTTTCCTTTGTTCCCCTAGCCATGGTTCTTTCTCAGTCTTTAAACAGATTCCTCTGTGGCCTGCCCCTGCCTTGAGTGGCATTGTAGGAAAACAGGGCTGGAATTCTAATGGGGGTGCACCAGAATAGGGCCTCAAGAAATGTGTGTTCAAGTATAGGGAAGCCTGGGCTCCCTTAAGCAGACTGAGATTCTAGTTTTCCAAAGCAGCTGGGTGGGGCTGAAAGGAGAATATCTGCATGGGATATCCAGGTGAACCTTTTAAAAAAAATTATTTATTTAAGTAGATAAGGGATTTTGCTGTGTTGCCCTGGTGGGTCTCAAATTCCTGGACTCAAGTGATCCTCATGCCTTGGCCTTCCAAAGTGTTGGGATTACAGGTAGGAGCCACCATGCCCAGCCTCAAGTGACTCTTTTAGGCCCAGCACTTGTCTTCCAAGATCTACAGCACTTTAGGGTTTGTGCTTTGTAAGCCTGCTGGAAGGTGTTCCCAGGAGGTGGGGGCGGGGGGAAACGATGGCCCTGTCATCCAAGGTGCTGGTGGGTCAATAGGCAGGGAAGCCCTCTTGCAAGGGCCCCACACTGAAGATGGAAGAGTTACACTTTGAAGATCAGATTGGCTACATACTGTTTATTTCCTCTTCATCACCCCCAGGCTTTTAGTGGAATCATGTTTTCTACCTAGGATTCAAACTTGGAAATCTAAGGAGGACTTCGGGGTCTGGTGCCCTGGCTGATGCCTATAATCCCAGCACTGTGGGAGGCCCAGACGAGCAGATCACTTGAGGTCAGGAGTTCAAGACCAGCCTGGCCAACATGGTGAAACCCCATCTCTACTAAAAATACAAAAATCAGCTGGGTGTGGTGGTGCGAGCCTGTAGTCCCAGCTACTTGGGAGGCTGAGGCAGGAGAATCACTTGAACCCAGGAGGTGGAGGTTACAGTGAGTTGAGATCATGCCACTGCACTCCAGCCTGGGTGACAGAGTGAGACCCTGTCTCAAAAAAACAAAAAGCAAAGGAGGACTGCAATTGCACAATTAGCCTCGAGGGGAGTGGGGGAGCGGCATCTGAGTTCGAAGGGCCGGAGCAGCAGAGGTTCCCCGTGGAAGAGCCTCCATGGAAAGACCAAGCTTGGGAAATAGAATTGAGACAGAGCTCCAGCTGCCTTTTTTTTTTTTTTTTTTGTAAATTGAGATGGAGTCTCGCTCTATTTCCCAGGCTGGAGTGCGGTGGCACCATCTCGGCTCACTGCAACCTCCGCCTCCCAGGTTCAAGCAGTTCTCTACCTCAGCCTCCCCAGTAGCTGGGATTACAGTCGCCTACCACCACGCCCAGCTAATTTTTTGTATTTTTAGTAGAGATGGGGTTTCACCATCTTGGCCAGGCTGGTCTTGAACTCCTGACCTCATGATCCACCCGCCTTGGCCTCCCAAAGTGCTGAGATTACAGGCGTGAGCCACCCCACCCGTCTCCAGCCGCCTCTTCCGTGGCCGTCCGTGGGAGACTTAGGATTGACTTTTGTTATGAGAGCTGTTCGTTTTCCTTATCAGAACTGAATGAAAGCAATTTCATTCGAAAACCCACTGGTCTTTGTTCTGAGCAGAGGATGTGGGGCAGAGGCCTGAAGTTGAACAGCACAGTCCATGGTGAGAGATGAGGAGGAGGACAGTGGACATTGCAGGAAGGGTCCTAGGACTGGGAGGGTGGGGGGTACTTTGAATAAGGGAATTCTAGGAGATGGGTCCTAGACTCAGGGGCAGTGTGGGAGAGGGGGGCTCTGAGGCAGAGGCATCAAGTGAGATGGTGGGAGATGGGGTCCCCGAGAGAATGGGCCTTTGGCAGATGGGCCCTGAACTAGGAGGGCGGTGGGAGATGAGGGGGCACCCGAGAAGATTGTGGGTCCCAGGCCAGGCATCGTGGCTCATGCCTGTAATCTCAACATTCTTGGAGTCCAAGCGGGGTGTGGATCACTTAAGGCCAGGAGTTTGAGACCAGCTGGTCAACGTGGTGAAACCCCATCTTTACTAAACATACAAAAAAAAAAAATAGTTCCTGGAATAGGCAAAACAAAACAAAAAAATGAATAAAAAAAAATTAGGGGCTGGGCGTGGAGGCTCACTCCTGTAATCCCAGCATTTTGGGAGGCCAGGCAGGTGGATCACGAGGTCAGGAGATTGAGACCATCCTGGCTAACACTGTGAAACCCTGTCTCTACTAAAAATACAAAAAATTAGCTGGGTGTGGTGGCATGCGCCTGTAGTCCCAGCTACTACTCAGGAGGCTGAGGCAGGAGAATCGCTTGAACCTAGGAGGCAGAGGTTGCAGTGAGCTGAGACTACGCCACTGCACTCCAGCCTGGGTGACAGAGCATGACCCTGTCTCAAAAAAAAAAAAAAAAAAAAAAAGGGTTCCTCCAGCATAAAGCCTCCTCCCTCTCTCCTGAGATCCCCAAGGAAGTGGTGCTGGGAGAGCAGGAAGACCTTAGCACATTCAGCCAGGAACCTGAGTCACCGTCCCTGCTCTGTGACCTCTCCCCTCTCTGGGCCTCAGTCTCCCCACCTGTCTATGGGACTGTCTCTTCCCCTGCACCAGATAAATAAAGCAGTATTTGTGGGCTCCCCAGGAGAGGCCCGGGCTCATGTAGCCCCTACCACACCAGGCTGTATCCTGGGGTCACCAGGGGTGTCCAGTGCACATGGCCCCTGCCCTCTAACTGCCTTTCCCCGCTCAGATTCGGGAGCTTCTCCCTCAGCCCTTGTCTTGTGTGGTGGGTATGTACATGCACTTACACACTCACCCACTCACACTTGCTCTCAGCATACTGGCTACCCAGACACCCGCAGGCTGGCTCAGGCCCGGCCCCATCCCCAGCCCCAGCCCTTCCTCTGACGTGCTTCCCTGGGCCGTGTTAGGAAGGCTGCCTGGAGAGAAACGGCCTGGCTGCCCCACTAGAGTGGCAAAAATGAAAAGGACTGACAATTCCCAGTGGTGGGAGGATGTGGAACAGCTACGGCTTCCTTACACTGTTAGATGAAAAATGGCACTCGAACTTTGGAAAGTCTGGCAACACCCATGAAAGCTAAACATAGTCTATTCCATGATCCAGCAATTTCACTCCCAGGCATGTGCGTACCCAACAAGTGGACATGTGTCATTAAAAGACACAGCTAGAGGGATGGGCGCGGTGGCTCGTGCCTGTAATCTGAGCACTTTGGGAGGTTGAGGCGGGTGGATCCCTTTTTTTTTTTGAGATGGAGTTTTGCTCTGTCACCAGGCTGGAGTGCAGTTGCACAATCTCGGCTCACTGCAACCTCCACCTCCCAGGTTCAATTGATTCTCCTGCCTCAGCCTCCCCAGTAGCTGGGATTACAGGCTCGTGCCACCACACCCAGGTAATTTTGTATTTTTAGTAGAGATGGGGTTTCTCCATGTTGGTCAGGCTGGTCTCAAACTCCTGACCTCAGGTGATCTGTGCTTGCCTCGGCCTCCCAAAGTGCTGGGATTACAGGTGTGAGCCACCGCGCCCGGCTCGTTTTTGAATCTTTAGTAGAGACTGGGTTTCGACATGTTGGCCAGGCTGGTCTCAAACTCCTCACCTCGTGTGACCTGCCCACCTTGGCTTCCCAAAATCCTGGGATTACAGGCGGGAGCCACTGCGCCCGGCCTGCAGATGCAATTTTAAAAATCATTGAGCTGTACCCTTAAGATGTTTCTACTTCCCTGTATGACAGTTTATTTCAATAAAAAGAGAGAATAGCATAGTGACCTAGAACTTTGGACAGTTTTAGTTCAAATCTCAAATCTCAGACTTGTCTCTTCTTAGCTATGTGACCTTGGGCGAATCACTTCCCCTCCCTGTGCACATTTAATGTACTCCTTGTACAGAGTGCTTAGAAGTAGGCAGAGCACACAGCGGGCACTCAGTGAATCACTGTCATCACCATCATCATCGTCATTGTGTCCCTTGGGTCCTACTCTATACGA